TGCATATATCACTTTAACTGAACAGGTTTAGTGGATGCCTCCCACACCCGAAACGCCGTTTGAGGCAAGATCACCCCCTTTCAGGCCGCGTGAGCCGTCTGCAGGCAGAGCGCATCTTCGCAGGCGCTACATTAGGGACGTGACCTTTGGCTCCCTTTGCGCGTGGGGTTCGCTTTTATGCGCAGATGGCGACATAGTCAGCTGACGATCCGCCCAGCTCAGCACCCGCCCGCGGCCGGTCAGACGTGACCGGGGACGGACGTGAAGCGGGGCAATGTTTCGCCGACAGATGTCGCTAATGGCCGGCGCTGACGCAAGGCTAACGGAGCGTTCTGCACCACGATTTCGCGTGACGCGGCCGTGACCTGAGCTGTTGCTGGGGATCTGCTGGCAGGCGTATCAGCGCCTGACGTTTACACGAACTCGGGGAAGCCCGAACAGAACAGAGCCGCGCTCGCTATGCACCCGCGTGCATGTCGCTTGGATGCGACGCTAGTACTCCATTTGTCTCTGTCACAGGGTAGTCAGCTGATTAAGGCGTGCGAGAGCGAAGGCTTCTGTCGCTTAGCTGGTAAGGGGTTGGCTAACTGCCAAGCGCTGCGTCAAAGTCACGAGACGTACCCACCTGCTCGCGAACAGCAGCGTGAAAACAGGCGGAATCAGACTGGTTCCAAGCAGCGGTCAAATGCTGGCAGATCGCCGCGGTCGACGTTGCAGGCCATGCCACGAAGTCGTAACGGTCCTGAATTCATTGCGGGTGGTTATCTGACTTGAAGTTGGCACAAATAATTGTGGACTGGAAATGGTCGTACGCGTTAAACCACGCACCAGCAGGTTTAAACCGCATCCGAACTCAAAAGACAGGGGCTACCGTGACCAGTGTGGCATTTCTCTTCAGTATCATGCGTAATTAGAAACTCCCAGCACCACTTGCAGGAAGCAGCGTGGGCACGAGGGATTTTTTCCCGCGAGTCCAGCACTCGGCTGATTAAATACCATCTGCACTATTGCGTGGCTGTCGGGAACCCTCGTGAGCGCCTGACGGCTTCCGGTTTGGCTGACGGTGTCTCAAGGCGCCGTTGGCTGACGTCTCGTGCTTTCTGGTGAGGGTGCATTCGGATGGAATAGGGAATACTTCTTAAAGCATGTCACGAGTCTGACCACCTGCACAATCGAGCAGTTGCATGTAGCAGGCCCACGCCGTTGGCTTCGTACAGCGACGCCTGTCCCGGCGCTGCTGGGTTCCAAGCAATTTTCCTCGCCTTTACACCCGGTCGGACCTCCGACGTCCAGCCCCTGATGGTGGGCGGCACGCGGGGCCAGCACGCAGGCTCTCGTTCCACCGCTCATGAAGAATGAGCGGGGGGGGGACCGATGGGTGGGGTGGGGATTCTTAATTTGGTTTGAGCCAAAACTTGATCATCTCATTCAGCCATACTTCATACACACTGTCAAAATGCTTCTGTTTTTCATACAAATGCGACAGCACGCCCTCGCGTTTTTCCATATTACAGGCAATTACTTTGTTAAAAGCAATCACTAGAAGCCATTATAGGCAATTACTGGAAGGCGTTCGGCGCAAGTGGGGAGGGGAGATTACCCCCGAGGGTGGAGTATCACGGTTTCAGGATGGTGAGGTAAAATGCGCCGCGGCCAAACCATGTTAAATGTCAAGAAAGGTAATCGTTCATGCAGCGCCAGCGTGCAGGCGCTGGCCGGAAGATGTCGCGCCGCTTTATACCACGTACGCTGCGCCGACAATGCGTGCTCCTGTCGCCAAGAGCAGAGGCAGTGCTTCAATTGATCTGACTGTTTCCAAAAACAGGGACAATGCTTCAAGTGACCCGACTGTAGCCAGGAACAGGGACAGTGATTCAACTGAACTGAAACGTCCAGGTGGGAGCGAGACACCGAACGTTTGATTCTAAAATCAAATTTGTGCTGCTCAGATATAACCGCTGCGTAGAACATTTCTCCAGACCCGTCCGTCGCTTATGCAGGCTTGTTCACGCTAAGAAGCTTAATATATAATAGGGAGACATATAAAATATGAGGCAGAGGTGTAGAGGGTAAACGTATGGTTTATATTGAATGGGTTTTATCATGTGGCCATGGGAAATCATAACGTCACCCATCCACATGGGAAAATGGGCCGACAGTAGTTGAGAAACACTGGTTTGAGATATGAGGTGGTGGTATGGCAGGCATACGCAACGTTCGTGTTAATTAAGTTTTGTTGCTTGATTCAGGGGAAATCACGATTCGATTCACGCACAGGGATAATCGGCGTTAAGCGGCTAAGGGCACAGTGCTGAAGACCACGCGGGTTGCATTAAGCGAAACAGGGCCGCTTCAACAGCGCCGAAGGCGAACATTGCATCGGAAACGATACAGAGATAATACGAATGTGGTTCGGCTCCACATGATGGCCGTGTTCCAGAGATTGCCGAGGAGCAATGCGGAGCGCATGCGCGGAACCCGTCCACATACTCTTTTGTAGTCTAGTGCGAGCGCGCAGCGAACCCCAACGCTCGCTTAACTCTGTCCCCGCTTAAAAACGCAGCTTCGCTAGAATCGCCTAATTTCGGTGGGACCTAGATGTGAAACCTGTCTAGATGTGCTTCCATAGATTTGCACGACCTTCTACGCGGAGTTTCCGTGCAAACGTCAACTCGCGGTCCGACAAACGACAGGCAGACGTCTAGGAACGCGTCAGAAGCAGCACGAAACATTCCCCGCGTGCTCCTAGACCACACCGGTGCGCTACGTCGAATGCTTCGGAGCGAGGGACGGAGAGAGCAGTCGGCCACCCAGTGACGCGGCGCCCGACCAAGCCGTTAGCGGTCAGCCGGTCGGACGACAAAGCAGTGTGGCCGGGGCACGCGAAGGCCGTGACTCACGACCGCATTCCGACTGGGCCCACTGTCCGGGTCCCGGGACTGGTGAATGGGCCGCCCCCAGGCGCCGCTCCGCACGTCACACGAGACCCGCCGCTGACCGCGACCTTCCTGTTGGGGGACGGCTGCTCAGATGCGACCCACACTTGCACGAGGTCGTCCCTCCCAGCGACTTCGCCGCCACGCCGCCGGTACCGCCGGCGCCGACGCCTGCGAGCGGCGTCGCCCGCCGCGGTTGGGGCCGTCCGGGACGGCAGCACGCACAGCTCGGTCGCGTGCAGCATCAACACGCGGTCCGGCGGGTCCTTCCATGTATTCACTGGAGACACCACGCCCACACCACAGGAGTGCTGGGGCACGCCACATCCAGCGCGCGCCGACCCGCCAGCCCACCCCGGCTACGGCGGCGCGAGGCGGGCGGCCCCGGACACCACCGGGCAACGGCGTCGTCCACAGGAGCCGGTGGCGGCCACCGAAGGTCGCGGGTTGGGGCGACCGAACAGCGCTCACCGCGGCGGAAGCCGAGCACGATAGAGGGCGGGCGACGGGCCTGGCGGCCTTCTGTCTGCCGTCGGCCCCGCGGCTACTGCCTAGCGGGCTGTTACAGAGTTCACACACGCCAGTCCACACACGCCAGTTCACACGCCGAGGGTCGTAACCAAGTTGAGAATACTGATCAGCAAGCGTATGAGGAACACAAAACACGCGAAACCGGACCGGCCAAGCTGCTATCGACCCCGGGAAAACCCAGGTCAGCACGCGAGACGGAGAGACGGCCCGGGAAACATGTCAGATTCAGGAGCCCAGAGGCGTCTGGCGCCGGGTGAGATTTCCGACCTCTGAAAAACGAGCTCCAGTCGTTATCTTACGTTGATGAACACCTTAAAGTCGCAACTTTAAGGCTGCCACCCACATTTTTGTTTGCCTCTTCTCTAGCTTCCAAGGTCGTGAGACCCCGAAAACAAATGCAGGCAACTCAGCCCGCTCTCAACATAAACCCGAGCCGTGCTCTGCGCCGAATGCTTTTAAAATCCGGTGGCCTTCAGAATCCGGTCCTGGAGGTCCGTTCCGTTGGTTAAATCAACGGTCTTTGGCTCTGTGTAGCTGTATAAAATACTGTAATGCATCCCGCGAAGACAGTACCATAGCCTTGGGTCCCAGGGTCCCACAACCTCCGGGCGGTGCATAGACACCCCCTTCAAACTTCCTGTAAACTTCGTCAGCCCACGAAAAGAGGCCTCTCCAGCCAGCAGTGCCACTGCTCCCCACGTCCACTTCCCGATAAGCGTTGGTTCAAGATCAGAACCGTGCCCCATGCAGGCTCCGGCAGCAGAAGTTGGGAGCCGGCACCGCTGGCACAGGCCGTCCCAACCTTAGGGCGCCACGTGACAAAACAACGCAGCAGCGCGGCAGAAAATCATAACAAAGAATCACAACTGAGATTGCACACATCGGTTATCTTGTTTCTCCCGCGAGGCGCAAAAATATTAGCGGAATGGCGCAAGATACCTGGGTAATAGCATGATTCATACCACGCTCCCTGCAGCAAAACCAAATACAAAAGGCGAGTCAACTCGCCAAAGTGGAGAACATTATCGCCAAGATGAGTGCCAAGGATTGCTTGAAATTAACCACGCGCCTTAACGTGCCCAGTAGTACAATGTGACACACTTACACTAATTGAAAAGCGCCATTTCCATCCCGAAATGGAAGGAAGGATGTTTTTAAGGGACACGATGAAGTCTGCATGCACCTAGGGATTAAACTGACGTGACCCATAAAGCTTTGGAGGCTACCAGCTGATCTTATTCGCAGCCCCGCCCTTGCCCAATTCTACACCGATGGTCCATCCCCTTTGCGCAAGCTAACACCCTCCATGACTCCCCACATCCCAGCACGTTCAATCCTTCGCGGCGTATGTCTGCCGCCCGCACATCTCCCTGTGACGTCACTGGTTCCCCTGACCGTCACCCTCCCGCCGCAATCGGTGTGACTTCTCCAAGCGTTGTTTGGCGCCGCGTCGTGGCGTCACATCCAGTCACGTGGCAGGCTCGGCGCTCGCGCGGCCGCAGCGCCGGCACCGCCGCCCCGTCGGACGCTAGTCTACTTCGCCGTCAGCGCCTCCATGGCCTTGATGAGCGCGTCGTTCTCGAGGCGAAGCTGGAGCCGTTCGTCGCGGCCGCGGCCGGCCGCCGCCTCCAGCGCGGCTATCCGCTGGTCGCGCTCGGCCAGCGCCCGCCTCAGACGGCCGTTCTCCTCCTCCAGCTGCCGCCGGCACAGACACGGGTCACCAACAGGTGGCAGCATCGTCTCAGGAGAGACGCGGCTACCGGCAGGTGGCAGCACCGTCAGGGGAGGCGCGGGTTACCGGCAGATGGCAGTATTGCGGTCGAGGCGCCGGTCACCGACAGGCGGCAGCACCATCCGGAAAGACGCCAGTCGCCGAAAAGTGGCGGTATTGCGCGGGGAAGCACGGGCTACTGGCAGGCAGCAGCACCGTCCAGGGAAGCATTGGTCACTGAGAATAGCAACACCACCGGTGGAGACACGTCTCCGGAAGGTGCGAGGCGTTCTTCAGGGGAAAACAAAGGTCGCCGACTGGTCGCGGCAACGCCCAGGGGGACGCGACTCACTGACAATGACAACTAAACCGGCGGAGGCATGGGCAGGCGGCCGTGTCGTGAGCGGAAACAAAAAGCAGCGGCGGAACGCGTTAGCTGTCAGACGGGTCGCCGGCAGGAGACACGTCGCCAGGGTGACGCGCGTCACCAACAGGCGACGTCATGTCAGAAAAGACAAAAGTCGCCTGCGAATGATCCAATGTTTATCTCTGTTTCATTCCGAGACCTCCATATCGGATGGAAAATAGTCTAAAATCAGCATGCTGAAAACATTCAATACGACAACACACGCCATTATCTTATTGTTATCGCGAATTACTCACATCAGTATTACCACTTTTTTGCCCTTGGTCTTGCTACCACTCTTATCCTTCACTCTCATAAATGTCATTAATTTAGGTCACGAAAAATTACTTTGTTGCCACCGCTTCTACTTATTATCATTATTCCTACGCCTATCAATCATACAAAACACCACATTTGCTATAAAACTGGCATTTTTCATAACCTTTCATACGCAAAGCAAAGAGACGCAGCAAAGCCTGTTCACCACCTGGCGCTTCCACACCGTCGCAGCTGAGTAACGACCCCATTCATTGCGCTCTTCTTCTCGCAAGGCACCGTAGCAGCGCCGGCGTCGCCTGCAGCTGCGACCACCGACCACTCCATTGGAGGGCCATGAGCCACCTGCCCCCGCCCCGCCCCTCTCCTTCTCCAGCGCCACTCCCGCCCGGGCGCTCCACCGGCCAGCCTACGAGCAGAGTGGGCAAACAGGGCGACGCCAGCGCTCCGCCGACCGGCCCTGCCGGCGTATTGCGCCCGTCGGCGGACGCCGGCGGCGGCCGAGCCTCGCCGGAGAGCTCATCAGCAGTCGACAGGTCAACAAGTCGGCAGGAGCGGACCGGGCCGGCACCGGACCCGTGGCCGTGTCACCGGATGACCTCGCCCGGTGAAGGCCAGGCGGAGGCGGTCTTCCAGACCGTCACGCGGTGGCTCGAGTGTTCGTGGACGCTCATCGCGCTGAGATGATGAAACCCACATATGTAGCTTTAAAACTCTACAGGGAACACTATCCACGCCCCGAAGCGGTCACCAGCCAATAACAGTGGCATGAAGATTGAGCCCAGGAGGCCGGAGTTCGCTACCGGTCGGGGAACCCCGGAGGCAGGTCTTGCCGGTCGGACGGGCCAGCGGAGGCTGGGGTGGGGTCGACACCGCACGGCGGGCCACGACGTTGACACAGAAGTCATGCAAAAGGTTCGGAGCAGTGCGCAGCCAACGCCGAATACTTGGGACGCAGCCTCACGCAACCAGGACGCCGGGCACCGAGAGGAACGCTTCCGCTTCTCATTCTGCGAATGTCGCGAAACCTGAGAGAAACGACAACAAGCGGGCGCGCCAACACACCGAGCGCTCTACCGACACACCGAGCGCTCCACGCTCAGCGGACCGGCGCGTGTCCGCGGTGCCACAGGAAGTGCCGCAGTCGCGCCGCGCCGGCTCGGCCAGACGCGCCGGTGACGCCACCGCCGCTGTCGCGTCCGCTCTCGTCCGGGAGATCGATGTGCGACTCCGCGTCACGAGAGAGAATGCACCGGCGGGCTGACGTCACGTACGCCCCCGGTGGAGCCGCGCCGCCCGACGAATCTCGGCTAGACAATGACGCTGCAAGCACGAAACACATCCAGCGCTGCCAGAATCAACGGAGGATCCTTTCCAAAGCCCGCGCCGCCTGCGTAGCGGCGACATCGAAGACCTCACGGACACGGCCATCTTTCACTTCTCCATGTCGACCGGCGACGTCGCGCGTTTTGTAAGCCGTGCCAAACGCGAGCTGAATCCATTCGCGGGTGTGTTCATCAGCGTCATTTACGAGCCGGCCCGGCACCGGTGGCGGCTTGGGGTCTCCACGATGAGGAGGCACCGAGCGGCGCCCCGGGCTAGTGTCAACATCCTCGACGCCAGATGCTAACGCAATTTGCGGCGCTAAGTTTGCGAAGCTGCATTAGCCACCCAGCAGCAAGTGTAACTTCTGGCTTGTGTTACGCGCGTGCAGACGCCAGCCGGCTTCTGGCGGGGGCGGAAGAGATGGCTGTCGATTGCTCCACCCCGTCCGCTGAAGTGTGTCACCTGGCTGGAACGCTTGCGGAAGTGCAGGTAAAGACAGCGGCGCAAGCCACATGACGTCTCGGGCGTCGGAGAGACGCCGTCTTCAGACAGGCGCGTCTTCGCCTCCTCAGCCGCGTCCTTGCATCACAACCAATCGCCAGTGAGCTCCCCGATACGAACGGAAGCGAAACTGCACCCAGTGTGACTTTCCCCACAAAGCGCTACGGATTCTGTTTCGCGCCTTTCGATCGGACGTTTCAACGCGGCGTCGAAGTCCGCTCCCAGCCTCCGCCGGCCCGCTCCACATCTCGAAGCCACGGCCGCGGCCTGCTTGCACCCGCGAACACCCGATCAACCCTAGCCGTGCATGCCCCGGATGTCCAGCCATCGGCAGCATCAGATCTGTCGGTCGGACTACGCCCGCCGCCCGGCGTGCGTCGGGCCCGCATTACGCCGTCGTGCGGCGGCGCCGGCGGCGGCCGCAGCGCGTCCCTCATCAGCAGGTGGAGCCTATGCTCCAGCCGGCGGGCCGGCCGCCGGCGCTGGCCGTGACGGCTGCTGATGAGCACGCGACGTCACCGGCCGCCCACCGCCGGCGGGAACGGACGGCGGAGGCGGGCGAAGAGGCGGGATGCTCGTTCCCCGCGCTGTCATGGCCCAGGGAACGGAAGAGCGACCAGAGAAGGCTGAGCAGCATCTAGGACACAAGGCCGCGGCAGGCCAGCTATGAATTCTGAATCCTGCACGTGCAGTTTTGTGGGTTCTGTCGACGGCCGACGGTCAAGGCAAGACGCAAGCGAGAGGCGGCGCGCAAAGTGAACGCCCATAAAGTGAGTAACGGGCCGTAAAGTTGGGCGTAAGGGGACCGTTCTCCCTGCCTGTGACAAGGAGAACGGTCGAAGGCGATTGGGAAAAATGTACTGCCCGTCCCACGCCCCTTCACCACGTGTCCGGGCGGATCATTAGCTGGCAAGAGTCTGCCATTGGCCTGCCGGGGTTAAGGGGTGAGGGCGGGGGTGGGCAGCGGAACACCTCTCTTCCCAGTGTGGATGCTCCTCAGTGGCGTGGCCAGTTAGAGATGTCCTGCTAGTGGTCTTTCTTCTTTTTTTTGGGGGGGGGGGGGGCTCTGGTGTTCCATGGAAGACAAGCTGCAGGCTCGCACGCTTCTGGCGTCCCACCACGCGTCTTATCAGCAGCATCGCCACGAACGGAGGATGATAATTAATTATTGTGCTCCAATCAGCCATACGACTAATAAAAAGCATCAGGTGAGCTGGCGTATGGGACCGTTCACAAATTGCGTTGTGCAGCTGTTGGTTATGCTTCAACCGTTCTTTTGGTTACGTTCTGATTATGCTGGACAAAAACCTCTTCCCTGGTAACGCTGTGTTCAATGTAACGTCTCAATAAGGCAACGTACGTTTGGCCTCTAATTGGGCCAGACACGCCAAAAAACAAAACAAAACAGTATGTTGCTTGTTATGACGTGAAGTTTATGCTGTTGAGGACCTATTTTGCATAACTTAGATATGACATGACTCGGAATCTCGCTTGAGCGTAACTGTACGCTGTCCAAACTGCCCTCTTATTGCGCCTCGGTTATGCCTCATCACACCCCATCCCCTCCAAGCGTAACGTAACTGACGGACGGCCCCGACACCTGCTTGAAACCACCAGACAATCTGACGGATGGACACCCTGTCATACCGACAAACAGCGCCGTTCGTGCCCGCCGGAATGCAGGACGCGCGCGAGCGCCCGGGACGTGACGTGCATGGCGTGACGTGCCCTCGCGCGCGCACCTTCAGCAGCCGGTCAGCGTGCCGCTCCAGCGTGCGTGGAGCGTGGGCGGCGGCAGCGGCGGCGGAGGCAGCAGCGGCGGCCGCCGCCAGCGGCGTGTCCGAAGTCCCCTGAGAGTCGCAGTCCTGGTTGTCCTCATCGTCGGCGTCCAGGTCCGACAAACTGCGGGAACGCGCCGGACATGTGGGTCACACTGCAAGATGCGCGGGGTCAGACTGCGGGAGCGCGCCGGGTCAGACTGGGGGGAGGCACGGGTCAGACTGTCACCGAGTCAGACTGGTGGGCAATGGATCTGATCGTGAGGTTCACTTGGTCAGGCCGCAGAACGCGCTGGGCCAAGTTGTGGCGTACAATAAGACAGACTGGAACTACTAACTAGGAACTACGAAACGACACAACAACTGGCATACTAGGAACGACATAAGGTCGGAGGTAAGTCCGAGGCAAGGCCAACGATGAACAGATACCAGGTCACAGGAAAGTCGGGGGCCGTCACAGAACATTAACACGGCGTCCCGGCAAGGGGTCCGAGACGCGCTGGACACGCCACCAGAGTGGGGGAACAGAAGCCAGGCCAAGGCTGGCTGGACCGCTGGACCCTGGCAAATGTGGCCGGTCAAACGCCGGGGCGCTCGACGACGGCCGGGAGGCTACGATTGGCTGATGATAACGCATGGTCTGCCTTCCGGGCTGACCACGGACCTACCCTCCCACAGCGAGCAACGTCCATCCGTATCAATCGGGGCCGAATCACGTCAGTGCGGTAAGCTACCATTGTGATACACGCGTACTCAATCGCGGGGCAAACTCAGACACGACCTCGCTTCCAGGAAGATCTGTAATGTGGCTTGAGTGTAACACATTAGCGTTACGGTGTATGCGATGCATTGCTGGAGATGCTATTCGGTCGTCGAATTCGTGCACACCGAAGCTACCACCTCGTAATACCAGTACTTTCCAAATGTGTGGAGAGAGCCCTCCTGCTCCTACACCAGCAACGCACTCCAGCTCCAGCAGCTTCCGCCAAACAGCAACACAACTTCCGCGGTGTGCAACGCCGGCGCCCTGCTACGAGCCGCACACCAAACTGCACAACATGAGGCCTGTGGAGCGAGCTGTTTCGTGCCGCGAACGGTGCCGGTGGGCGCTGAGCCCAGCAGCCGGGCGCCAACCTCACCCCGGTGCGTCAGGCCGACTCGGCCGGCACGACACGCGTACACCGCGACAGCTATTGCTCCAGATGATAATCCAGGCTCCCGTTTCATAAAGAACCACGCCGTGCGCCGTCTTAAAACGGCGCTGTCCACGTAATATCGACCTTATGTCTAATCGAATATCTGATGTCTAATAATGCAGCCCGGAAGCTACGTAGTTTCACCGATCTGGCAATTTTCCGATGACGCAAAACCCCCATGCAACTGTGACCTGTTTCCAGCCCATGTGCACACAGGTCGCGACGTAAAAATGATGTAAGGCGCAATTTCGGCTTATGAAACTGGCCCCTGGTGACAGGACAAACCCGACCGGCGGCGGTGAAGCGGGGTTTTACGAAGAACGATCCCTCGCGCGGCGGGGTCGTCAGGACGAGAGACGCGACAAGAACCCATCTGCGCCGTATTGAAACGGCGCTTATCTGTGTTTTATCCAGTCAGATGGTATTCCTGGAAGAAAACACGCCTGGAGTACGTGCTCGAAGACGTGCTTCCATCGCCCCCTCATACGTCAGATGGTCATTAACGAACCGAACGTCGACACGACGGAAGAAGCCGGCGCCGAACGGAGCCCCGCTCAGGCTGTCACGGCCGTGACCTCTACCCCCGGCGGCAGAGGTCACAAGGGAACCCCCGGTCAGCGCCGGCTTCAGCCGTCCGACCCCAGCTCCAGCTCCGGCTGCCGCTCCGGTCCCATTATCGAGAAGCGCAGCGTGCGACGAAGATCCACGGCGTCGCCGCGCTCTGGCCTCGACCGCCGGCTGGCCGGTGTCAGGCTCCGGAAGGGAGAGGCGGCCCCGTGGACGACAGACCGGGCCGGCCCGTCGAAGCCACGGCTTGCGACAGGCGGCACGCATCTGAAGCGTGGCACGATGCACCCGACGAGCGCACCCACCCCCATCAGGCATAATGCTGGTGCAGGAAGGCGCGCCCTCCAGCACCTGATACCGCTGGGAAATCCACAGGAGGCGTTCGGGGGGGGGGGGGGGGGGGCATCGCGCGAACACAACTGAGTGATCGCGGCAAGCCAGCACCAGCAAGTGACACAAACGGGAGGTCGCAAGTCAATCAGACTCCCAATAACCACGCCATCAGACTGTATTACGGAATGAAACTGTCGAAATCCTTACAATACGACGCTGCCGTGCGCGGTAAATAAGCACCTAATGTCTTACAAATCCAAAACGTGAAGTCAAGCATCTACACCGCGTCTTTGCGAGGTTACAATAATTACGAGTTATCGAAGCATACGTCAAAAGCATACGGTTGTCTGTGTGCGCGGCGGGTATTCTACGCATGGATCATGTCCAGCGCTCTGAGCATCCGCGCCATATTCAGTGTTCTGTTTATCCGTATCATGTTCAAGTCTGTACATTCGTGCCATCCGTACCATTCTAACATCATACCGTTTTCCAAACGTGACGTGCCTCGCGCGCTCGTGTACTTTCACGCAGCAGCTCACCACGTGAAGTTCACCAATTGTTGTCACCAACGGTACAACACATTTCACAAACGTACTTTTGCCTTGCAACACGCGAGGATCCGGAACGAGCTGCGTCGCAGTCAAGTAGCTGCCCAGGGCCCACGAGACTGTCCAGTCCAGCATCCACGTCGGCGGCGTGGCGGGGCGCCGCGCGGTGTGGTGCTGCGGTCGCCTGGAAGACGGGGCTGCACTGGCGACCGACACCACCGCCTCGGGGCAGACGACCCTGACGCCGGCGGATTAGTGTTTGCGTTAATTAGCGCGGCGGCGGCGCGCTGCGTGAAATAGTCCGGTCGCGCGGCTTTGTTCCGCGACCCGCGGCCGCACGAGCACAGAGCGGCAGAGCGGGGTCACGGGTCGCTGTGACCCCTGTCCGGAGCCGAGCAAACACGGACGGCGGAGCACGTCGGGCCGTTCGGAGCCGAGTCCATACAGTACTCAGCACTGACACCCAGCCGCCGTGGACAGCGACAACAGCCCCGTACGCCAGGTAGGAGGGCGCTGCCGCGCTTTACGGGCGTGACACGTGCCGGGTATTGACCGGACCGTCAGCGGATCCGTGCGGGAAAGCTCGCGCACGCGGACGCACGCAACGCGCCCGTGCTGTCGTCACAGGCCGTGCTTCTGGCAGCGTCCCAAGCGGACTGGCTCGGCGAACATCAAGTGTCTCTGATGTAAGAAGCGCAATGCAATCTCGGAAGAACGAGAGACGGACAGATAGAACTCATCCGCTTTCTGGTTACAGCGTGCGAAGTACGCACTTCCATTCATTCGCAATTGAGGCATCTCAAACGTGAAAGCCTGAAAACACGCGCCGCCAGCTGAAGCAAACGCCGAGGCGGTCCAGCGTCAGACGACGACTCCGTGCCGCCTATTCAGCTGCGTGGACAGCGTGCACGCGCAATGTCGTCAACGTCGTCCGCCGGACGTGACGCAAACTGGCCACACACGCACACACTCAGCCAAGGAGGCGGCGAGGGAGCTCAGAAACACCACCGATACGGAGAACAGCGAAGCTGGTGCCAGCCGTCTCCGCCTGCTCGCGTAATGGCGCCAGGCGATGTACACCGCCTCAAATGGTGCGCCGAGAAAGCACTCGCTCACCTTGGAAATTGACTCGCCTTCGTAGACGCTCAGCAATGAACAAAACATGACTAAGTGAGCAGTGATAAACATGCGCTCGGGTGGAGGTCAAACTGACCCTCGCGAAGGTTTTCCAGAATGACTTACGAATGGCAGGGCGTGGCCGCGCCAAACTTTGCATAGCGGTAGAGGATCGCATAGCAGATCGTTTCATGTAAAAAGCTCAGATGTTCCTTGTAAGGTCGCCAACCCATGGCGGGTCAAAGTCAGGCCATGGCTGGCGGCGAAGGGCATTTCTAGGGCATCGCTCAATGTGATGCAACACGAGTGTTAGATGGCACCATGCACATCTGAGACAGTTTCTTAGGCAATAAACCAATTGAATTTATAACTCTCAATTCCATTAATATAGTATCACGTATGAAGGTCAGATCGAGGCCAACACTAACTTGCTTTTTTACTCGAGAGCTTGGTTTTGGGATAGTTTCTGATGCAAATTTCGAGAACATCAATGACAGAGACAGCAGTAGACATGTTCTATGGACTTTTAAAAGGTCAGATGAGGTCAATAACCTAACATAACCCAAGTTATATCTTATATTTAGGAGCATACCACCTAGCGTAGTCCCTGACGCTACACGAACAACAAAATGGAAACGGTCTCGTAGGTATTTGGTCACTGAAATTATACAGGTAACCTCAGGTCATGGGCCTTAATTGGACACCGTTGATTTTGCGGTCAGAACACGTATTTAGCTTCCCGACAGTTGCATGAGGAGGCTTGGGTCACTTGAGACACAAATCTGGAGTTTGACCTTGTCTGACCTTATTTGACCAGGTCATGGCCCAGGAACCTAAAAGTTTTACACAAGTGAGTTCATATTCAGGTTAACCCACTCCGTGAATTTCATATCTCTAGCCATCTTGGTTTTCGAGATCTCAGGGGGTCAAATTGACCCCCACCAGAACGAAATGTATTGAACCGATCATCCGGACGCGTGTAAAGTCGGCTATGGTTTTGCCATCTGTCCCTGACCAGCCAGGTGGGGAAAGACCAAGTTTCGCAACGGACAATGTTCATCCACTCTGCGTCCTACCGCGCGCACGGCGCCTCCCTTTTGATCATGATATAACATTTTGGCTTTCTGTAAGACTTTAAAGACTGGGGCTGACTTTTTACGAGCGAAGGCGCAGGCTGAGCAAGTCTTACGTAAACTATTATTTAAAAAATCACCTCTGGTGTCCCAGTCACCATCACCTTTTCTGAAAGGTCATATTTTCACAAACATGGGACACGGATTAATGCATCAATGAGAACCCACAACCGCCAAAGTTGTGCTGTACGTTTTCGAGCATTTGCATCCACACAACTCAGTCAGCTTGTC